TTTTTTTTTTTCGTAATTGGAGGTGTTGTTTTGACATCCGCGCGGAACTCGGGTCGTGTTTGTTTTTTTTGTGAAGTGGTAAGATTGATTGCCTGCGTCGCGTGGCTTTGTTTTGTGTGAGTGGTTTGATTGACGTTGTTTTGTGTACTCTCTTTATATTTCCCTCTGCGTTGCTGTTGTTTCTCAATGTGTTAAGTGTGGGTCTCTTTTCTCCTTTTCTTCTCTTTTTTTGTCACCACAGATCCAAGCAAACCACAGTGATAATCATGAGAACGATGTTCGTCCAACTGCGCCGTGTGGTGTACCTGTTGGTACTTCTGCAGTGTTGTGTGTGTGTGGCATGTGCGGCGACTGCAAGTGACGTTGAGCACGGTCCTTCAGCCAGTAAGTCAACTGAAGTAGGAAATGTGGATCAGGAGTTAAGCGACACGATAACCGTGGTGTATGAGCACATTGTGAACATAAGAGCTTGTATGTCCATGTTAATGACGGGGGCGGATTTATGCAAGGGAAATTACACGCGTGCTGCAGCTGTTGCGAAGAAAATCAAGGAACTTCAGGTAGAGGCCAACGGGGAAAAAAAAAACAAAAGAGAGTGGATTGAGAGAAATAATGTCAGCATACGGGAAACCATTAATGAGTTTGACGACGTGGCAGTGGTACTCGTAGACATGGACCTGGTGGATAAAGCTTGTGACGGTCCGCTTGGGAACGTGGAAGATGTGACGATGAAACTCGAGAACGCTCAAAAGCGTTTTTTGGAAGTACATCAAAACAAACCGCACGAAACGGAGGAAATAATGAGACTCAAGGAAAACAGCATTAAAGCAAACCAATCGTTATTTAACCTCAGAGAACGATTCAAATCCGCAGGAGATGAACTCAAACCAATTTGGGAACTCACAAGGGTAATGGGTGGGGCGAGGAAAGATTTGCAGGCCCTCGTGAAGTTTTTGGGAAGTGAACCGGGGCTCGTAATTGTTTCAGAAGAAACCAGGGAAGAAGAATTAAAAAGAAAGGGGAAGGATAGAGAGATAGCCGTTACTAAGGAATTGGAGGAAGCAAGAAAAAAAGCAAAAGAGAATCTGCCACTGGAACAAGAGGGGCCGGTTGAAGAAGAGGGAAGGATAGAAGATGGAGAACAGCCGTCAGGGGAATCAGAAGGAACAAGAACGGATGATGAGAAGACACCGGAGGCAAACAAAGAAGAGAAAGAGAATAAAGCAGAAACGGAGAAAGAAAAAGAAAAAGAACAGGCTGACGAAGAAGAGACGGGGAGGGAAAGTACCGGAAATAAAGAAGAAGGGGAACAAGAGCAGGAAAAACCGGTCAAAGAAGAGTCAAAAAGGCCTGAAATTGGTGGGGAGCAGGTAATAAGAGCAATACAAGAGAGAGACAACAGCGTCAGTCCTGCATTGGTGCACGGTCCCCTGTTGTTGCTTCTTTTGTGTGTGTTGGGTTGTTCTCTCGTGTGCTGATCGGTGTTCCCATGACACAGCTGCACAGTTAACCTTTGTTTGAGTGGACATGGATGCATTGTAAGAGCACTGTTCTTTTTGGTTGGATGTTGGTATTCTTTCCCACCACGATAAATCTCTTGTTTGCATTTTTTGCCGAACAAATCTATTGGACTCCCTATGGCACTCATCACATGACAAACCATCATTTTGTGAGGAGAGTGTCCTCTTTCTTTGTTGGCATTGTTATCTGGGCTCTGCTGTGCCGCTGTTCACTGTGTCCGCCTGGTGTGTGTGTGTGTGTTCCGTGATATTACTAACTATTGCTTTTACCCATGGGAATGAAATACAATCCCAATGTGTTGTAATTGCCGTGAGTAAAATGTAAAGAATAGCAGGAGGTTCAAGACACACAAACACGCACACTACCAACCTTCCTTCTCTTTGTGTGTGTGTGTGGACTGTCATCATGTGTGCATCATTCCCACTGCTCGCCCTGTACGAAAGACACACACACACCTACTGCAGGGAATTGTGTTCTTGCCTCCCTGAACATATTCACATGGTGATCACGGCTTTCTTTTTGTTTTGTTTTCACTATTGTTTTTCCCCTTGTGTGGTGTGGTGCTTTGTGGTTTCCCCCACTCTGCGGCAGTGCAGGCACGCAGTCAACAGCGGACCAAATGTTTTATACACTCTTCCCATCTTTCTTGTCTCTGTTTTTACAGTGGACTTATTTTGATCCTTATATACTGCTTTGTTTTTCCTTTTTTGTTTCTGATACACCTTGTGTATCTTGTGTGCTCATTTTTATGGAATGATTCTTGTTATATTACAATAATACTGGAATATATATGGTTATTACACATTCACTACACAAAAGTTTTCCGTTTGGTATTATACGGTAAATATTGCTGTGTCCAGGCATTGCAGTCACAGCAAGTCATGAGTTTTTTTTCTATCTTGTGCTTCACCTCTTATTTTCTCTTTATTAGCCACTTTTTTTTTTACATTTTTATTTTGGTATAAAGATCGGTGGGTTGTAGGTGTTTGAGTGTGCCCCTCTGTTGTGTGTTCCTTTGTGTGTTTGGGTTGTTGCTCACACCGCCCACGTAATGAAAACACATTTCTTTGTTCTCACCTTCTCTCTCGGTGGTGTCACTCACACGGCATTGCCGCGAACATATTTGTGCCCTTGTGGTGTGTGTTATTTGTTGTTTGTTTGAGTGACTGCAATCTCTGCGGGGAGATGGACTGAGACTGTTCCGCTTCGGCTTCACGTAATGGGTCTGTTTTTTTCTTTTTGGGGTTGAGTTGATGTGCTGGTGTGTTTGAATGTTTTTCTCTGATGAGAGTGTCACCTGTGATTATTGTATTGTGACTGCCTTGTGTACTGTTGGTATCCTGTTGTTGTTGTTGTTCTTTTCTTGTGTTTTTCTTTTCCTCTCTGTAGGTGTGTAACTTGGTGTACATTTTAGGGAATGCGGCAGTGCCTCTCTGATATGAGCATGTGAGACTCTCATTGTGTGTGTGTGTGCACTGTGAGTGGGAAGGACACCGTTGTGTTGCTGGACCACTCCACTGCGGTGTCTGTGGGGTTTGTGTGTGAGCGGCATGTTTCGCTTCGGTGGGGCTCGAGGGGCACTTTACGTCCCGAGGCGCTGAACCTGGAGGCCTGAAATATCATGCTCAGGGGCTTTGAACTTGAGAGAAAAAGAAGAGTGAGGATGAGGGAAAAAAAGGATGAAACCCGGCAACCAGTCTACGCGCGCAATGCTCGAGGCTCGTTGTCGGGTTTTGCCCTTTTCTTTTTTTTTATCCATCACCCGAAGAAGGGAGAGGAGGAGAACACGACCCCACAACCCAAGGCGGGCGACCAACTTGTCACAGCGTCTTGTTGAAACCAGAAGTTTTTCGCCCATGTAGTCTCCCTCTTCTTCCACTGCAGAAAATTCCATGAAGGACAGGGTATGCCAAAAAAAACAAATTCCACCTCAACGCACGATACGAGAAAACGAAAACAAGAGACCTTCCGGCGTTAGTCTGTCCCATGTGTGGTCACCAATGTATGAGTAAGTCGGGCCTAACTCTACACCGAATGTCACGACACGGGTATCAACCCACTCTTGCACACACCAGCCAACGCGACGAATGCGAAGAAACAGCTCTGCATCTTTTGAGTTGCCCCGCTATTCAGCCAATGCGAGTTCAATTTGCGATAGTTGATTATGTACCCCTGATGAAACTATGTTTTTTTAAGTGGTTAGCACAGTTCCTTATTGCGGTGGAGCGGAACTACACTATGCCACAGACTTCACACCCAAGAAACCCTACGCAGCCTACCTCCCCCTCTGTAAGGCCTCCCCACTCCTCTAAAATAAGTGACGAGCTCGAATATGGAAACCTTGATAGAAGAGTAATCTCAAGGCGTCTGACACCGACCAAAACAAACAACAAAATAAATAGGAGTTCATGGAGGCCAATCTATTATAAAAAAACCCAAAAATAACCAAAAATAATAAGAAAAAGGAGACTGGAGGATGGGTTCTGGGTAAGAAAAGTGAGAGTAGAGAGATCTGGTAGGGTTTACTCGATCGGATTTCTCGTAGACTGGTTCTCTCGTTTGGGAACGGGCTACAACCAAAAAAATCATATTACAAGAGCTTGAGGGTCCTATAAAATGAAGGGATCTTCTTCTTCGGAACCACTCTTAAGTCGGTAATTAAGATACTCTACGGTGTACGGTTGATAGCCGTACCATTGGAGTAATATCCATAAAGACGCGAAGAACAAAAAAAAAAGAGGGCGGCACGAGGGAGGTGCGTCTATACTCTTTTTTTTTCCCCGCGTCACCCCTTGTGGTCGTCGCCGCGTTTTCCTCGCCTGGAGGTTTCGGCGGTCTTTCGACAGCCTCCGTTTGGATCAGCAAAAACGCTTTTCAAAGAAGGCGTGGGCAACTTTATTTCCATTTTCTTGTTTTCTTCTTCCCTTTTTTTTCCCTCAAACTGGTATCCTTGACGCTAAATTCGGTTAAAAAACAAATAAAAAAAGAAGAGAAAGAAAAACAAACAAATAAAAAACAACGGACGCTCTCCAGGGAAAAAGAGAGCAAAGAAAAAAGTGTAAACACAATTGGTTGGCATTGTTTTTTTTTTTTTTTTGTGCGTTTCTTTTTTGCTTTCCCACCTCAGCTGGGGGACAGGTGAAATTCAAGGCATTCAAGAAGGAAAAAAAAAACGCTTGACAATGACTTCCCGAAAATCCGGAATGCAACAGAAAAGCAAATAAATAAAATAAAAGAGGTTGAAAAAAAAGAAGAAAATTACGTCTTTTTCCTTTTTTTATCCTTTCGCTTGCGTTCTCTCCTTTATCTTTTTTTCTCCACAATTATTTTATTTATTTTTCTTGTTTTTTTTTTTTTTTT